GGACAGCCTGCCGCCTTTAGAGCAACCAACATCTGCTCCGTCGCCGAGCTCATCGGGGGCATAGCAGCTTCAAAGCCCGACCAGAAGCAGGAGACAACAACTCCGGCTCCGGCGGATCCCACTTTGGGTAAGCAAGGAGCAGCGGACATCATAGACGAATGGGCTGACAAGCTGGGTGGGACATAGGGCAAGAGGTGGATGTCGATGTTTTGCTTGCGTCCGATGGCGCCTCCACCGAGTAAAGTCAAGCTCATTCAGACAAACCTCCAGCACAGTCGCACCGCAACGGCTCAACTCAGGAAGTGGCTGGAGGATAACAATGACGGGGCTATTGCTCTGGTCCAGGAGCCGTGGATCAGATCCAACACCATATGTGGCCTCAACAACACCGGTGGTAAGAATTTTTACAACCCAGGTAACCGCTCACCACGGACCTGCATAGTATGTTCAAAACACCTACAGGCAAAAATAATGACACAATTTTGTTCTAGCGACATAACAACAATCCAAATTACACAACAGCAAAATCCAAGTGTACCTGTCCTGGTAGTTGCCTCTGCCTACATGCCTGAAGGAGAGGAAGCTCCGTCAGGGGAACTGGCTGAGCTGGTGAGACACTGCGAACAAACAGACTGATCATCGGCACCGACTTCAACGCCCACCATCAATTGTGGGGTATGACGAAAAGCAACAAACGAGGTGAGGAATTAGTAGATTATCTATTTACCACTAACCTTAATATAATAAACACAGGATCTGAACCTACTTTCGTAACAAGAAGGGGCAGATCCATCATCGACCTTACACTTGCATCAAGAAGAGCAGCGGATCTGATCTCTGACTGGCACGTTTCCCCAGAGGCATCCTGCTCTGACCATAGGTGGATTAGGTTCAACATCGCGGTACAGCGTGTTACCCAGTCACCTAGACGCATACCTAGTAAAACAAACAGAAGCCAGTATCGCAGACAGGTAACTCGGTCATTGCGACATATACAGTCTGGTAATTTAGACGAAACTTATAAGATAGACGAAACAGCTGAGGAATTAACAAGAGTTATAATCTCAAGCTATCAGACAGCTCTTAGTACACCATCATCCAACTCGGATGCCAGCCAGTCTTGGTGGGGTCCCGAGCTGGATAAACTGAGGAAAAAGGTAAGAAGACTTTTTAACAGTGCCATGAATACATGTGACGACCAGGACTGGGATGCGTACAAAAATGCCAAGGCACTTTACAAGAGACGCATCCGACATCGGAGCAATGGGTCTTGGAGAAAATTTTGTTCAGAAATAGACTCATGCACAAAGGCAAATAAGGTAAGGAAACTCCTATCTAAAGATAGGCAGCAAGACCTAGCACAGCTCCGGAAGGCTGATGGCTCCCTCACAGAAACAACTGAGGAGGCACAGAGGGTACTACTTGAAACCCACTTTCCGGGCTGCATCATACACACGACACATACTTGGAATGACACTAGCTGGACCCCCACGGAACAATCCTGGAACACTGCATTGAAGACAGTTTCTACAGATAAGTTAAGGTGGGCCATTAACAGCTTCCAGCCATTCAAGGCAGCCGGACCAGATGGCATCTTTCCGGCGCTGCTTTAATGGGCAGGTGAAGCACTAATCCTTATCCTGGTGCCCCTCCTGAGAGCGTGTCTTGTATTTAGATACACCCCGAAGCTCTGGAGGGAGGTCAAGGTAATCTTCATACCAAAACCGGGTAAGGCAGACTACAACGAGGCGAAATCTTTCAGACCAATAAGTCTCTCATCATTTCTGCTAAAGACCCTGGAAAGACTGTGCGACAGAGAGCTGAGAGACAACCAACTAGTCAATGTTCCACTACATCCGAACCAACACGCCTATAGTCCAGGCAAGTCGACAGAATCTGCACTACATGCAGTCGTAAGTAAAATAGAGGATAGTCTCAGACGGAAAATAGACATAGAAGGCGCGTTTGACAAAACAAGCTTCGCCAGCATAGTAGACGCACTTGGCAAACACGGAGTCGATGAGACCATTATATACTGGGTAAGTAACATGCTCCGTAACAGACTAATCAGACAACAAGACGACAACCATCTCAGAGCATTGGCGACTAAAGGATGCCCTCAAGGAGGAGTACTGTCGCCTCTGCTATGGAATGTAGTTGTAAACGACTTAATTACCAAACTAAACAACTTTCACTTCCACACGGTGGGCTACGCGGACGACCTTGCAATCATAATTCCGGGTAAGTTAGCGAGCACCGCCTGTGATGTTGTGCGAGGGGCAATGAAGGTGGTTGAAAAATGGTGTGACGACTACAGCCTTAAGGTGAATCCAGTGAATACGGAATTGGTCATGTTCACGAACAAAAGATCATTAGGCGACTATCGGCTACCGAAACTATTTAACACGACACTGAGGCTCTCCAATGAGGTAAAGTATCTAGGAATAACCCTAAACTCCAAACTGAACTGGGGATCCCACATAGACAAAACTACAACGAAGACCAACATCATTTTCTGGCAATGTCGCAAAATGATTAGCAAAACTTGGGGACTATCACCGCTCATTGTTAAGTGGCTGTACACGACCATAATTAGGCCCATCATCAGCTATGCAGCAGTAGTATGGTGGACCAAGACAATCCAGGTAACGACAATTAATAACCTAAGACGTTTCCAGAGGCGGGCATGCTGATCAATCACCGGCTGCATGAAAACCACTCCCACATCAGCACTGGAGACAATACTTAACGTGAGACCACTTCACTTGATTATACAACAGGAAGCTGCATGTACAGCCACGCGCCTAAGCATGCTGGGGTTATGGAGAGACAACAACTCCCCGCACACCAGCATCTTAGCAGACATAACAGGCATTTCCCGTACTTTGCAGCAGTAAACGACCTTATTCCTAAGACGTACGTATTTGACAAAAAATACAAAATTCAACTTTATGAAGACACCCCGGACCGTTGTCTGCATAAGGAGCTGAGGATCTACACAGACGGTTCAAAAACCAACTATGGTACAGGTGCGGGTGTCTTCTCCGAAGACCTGAATATACACATCTCGACAGCTTTGGGTGCCTATAACACGGCCTTCCAGGCAGAGTGTGTGGGCATCATCAGAGCTGCTGAGGCGATAGAATGTCGCGGGGTAAGAGGAAAACATATTCGTATACTCTCTGACAGCGCTTCTGTCCTACGGGCACTGGACAACAATATAATGACATCAGGCTTAATTTACGAATGCTACAGTAAGTTTACTAATATTGCTAACGACAATAGATTGACTTTACAGTGGATTAAAAGACACAGCGGCTCAAGGGGTAACGATGCGGCGGACTGCTTAGCCAGGGAGGGGTCTGGCAGGACGACCATTGGTCCGGAGCCAATTATACCCATACCCTATCAGCAGCTGCGAACCTGGATAAGGGAGCGCTCTCAACGACAACACGACGATTACTGGTCAAAACTCACGCATGCAGGCAAGCTAGGGAAGCCGTTCCTAAGGTAAACCTGCAGCTAACACGTAAGCTAATCAGACTACCTAGACAAGCCCTGAAACAAATCGTGGGTATACTCATGGGTCACGGCTACTTCAACAAACACCTTTGTAATATAGGTATTTCTGACAGCCCTCTGTGCAGAGCCTGCCTGGAGGCGGATGAGACGAGCGCCCATGTCCTACTGGAGTGCAGGGGCGTTGCAAGACAAAGGACTTCTCTAATGGGAAGCCCGAAGACAATAGTAGAGGCCTGCAGCATTCGGGGACTGCTGAGCTTTCTGGAGGAGCTGGGATGGCAGGACTGATGCCAATCCCCACACAAAATAGGCACTAGGTGTCAAGTTGCGGAAACAGCCCGCCGTACTACTAAGACTAAGACTAAAAGTTGGTCCCAAAAACTCTCTTGTGGAACTCCATACGTCACGTCACAGTCGGTACTTGTATAATGGTCTATTTTTACGTGCTGTATCTGTTTAATTAAATAGTCCATCAGTAATGCTAAAGCAACTCCTCTCACACCAATGCCCTCCAACCTCTTTACAAGAATGGGTACGGAGACCGTAATGAACGCTTTTTTTAAATCCAAGAACACAGTTATACACTTTTTCCCTTGGTCAACGTTTTCTACAATACGAGTTGTTAACCCTATCACTGCGTCTTTGGTTGAAAGGGATTGCCTAAATCCATATTGCGATTCAGAGAAAAAAACAATTTTGGCCAAATCATTTCGAAGTCTTTTGTTTATTATTTTTTCCAGTACTTTAGATATTGAAAATAAATAACAACAATGTCAAATTGTCAATTAAAAAAAGGGTTCTAATTATTTTAATAAAGTTATCAGGTATCATTTGAAAGGTTATAATGATACCATATCAAATATACACAAATTTTAGTACTTTGTTCTGTTGTTCCCCATTAGCGGAATAATAATATGGCACTGCTTCATCAACTTAAAATATAGATAGATAGAGCTTTACAAAATTACAACATGAGTGAACATTTTTTTTTTTCTCTTGAAATAATAGTATTTACAATCTTAAATTGAAAATTTAAAAAAACATATTTATAGACACTTATGTACTATTGTGCCCGTGCCAATGGAATGTCCATAGACACTGGCTGTATGGTGACATGGGCCCATATTTATGCGGTGGAGTAACCACAATAGCATTATTTAAACAGGTTTACCTGTAAAACAAGATAAATACTAGATTTTTTTACATTTTAGTTAATTTTGATCAACAGCAGTCATGTTTTTAATTGTTTTATAGTACATTTGATGAATTTAAGTGACTCAACTAAGTTTAATGTACTATTAAAAAAAAAAATTTTTTTTAAGAAACACTGACCACCACTAACAAAATTGTAAACGGCTAAAAGAAGCCTTATTACAGGTAAGAAGTGTTTTGGTTTATATATTTTAAAAAATATAATTACCTAGTTACCAACTGAGAATTAGATAAATCATGTTTAATATCGTTGACCTCATACTTACTTTTTCTACGGGCATAAATTGAACGGTTTCGGCGTGACATTCAGTAACTTTTTTTGTCATCGTAAAAGACATTTTAAATACTTTAATTAACAATTTGTAGACACATGAGACTCACACCATAAGTATTTAAATAAACACTAGCCTTTTCACATTAATTCACTAATTTACAACTACCACATACAAGGAGGCCCTTGCAATAATTAAATAAATAAAAATAGAAACGAAATTAATCAAAACACCACGAAAGCCACGGAACGCGAACAAGCGCGACTACCCTTCACAACATCATACAAAAACTGTTTTTTTTTTGCCTGACAGTTGTCACTGTCAGAATGACACCACTGTGTCAGTGATGTTGATTCTGGCATGTTTCTTTAAAGCTAAACTTAAATTTGACAACAGTGCATCCTTGTCATTCTCTATACAGAATGAAAAGGAGAGACTGATGTTAAATTTAGTTATAAGTTTAGAGAATCACGCTAGAATCGGCACCAGTGTATATAATAACTTTTTTTTATTATAACGCGCGGTTTTTGCATTGGCCACGACAGGGTAAGTGGTAAGAAAAACCAAAATAATGAAATAAAAAAGTTTTGAAACGAAATTTGGAAGGATTAGGATCAGGTTGTATGACCAAATAGTACCTATAAACCGTAAGTAGTTATTAATTCCTTAATTTATATTTTATTTAATAGATGGCGTTACATTGTTCGTGAATCGCGTTAAGTGGCTTCCACACGATACAATTTTACGTCCAATTTGATTAGATTGACCATCGAATTGTGTGGGGTGGACGGAAATATGAAATTGAAGGTCATTGGATGGTCGGTATCGCCCGATTCGGGATTGCCCAATCAAATTGGGTGGTGTGGACGCTAACTGGCCAATTTTTTAACGTAGTCACTGTGCAAGCGGCGTTCAGAGCGGGGGTGTGCGTTGACTTGTCTTTTGAGAAGAAGATGGAGCAACATGACGACAATATTATGTCTATTCGATCTGAACGGGAAGTAATGGAGGAGATTTTAGATATATGTAAAGACTTGCCATGCCTTTGGTATGTGTCTAACCCATTATATAAAAATAAACAAGCAAGGCATAATTCCTTAGAGATTTTGCGGAATAAGTGGAAAAATATTGATAAAAATATTACTGTTATAATTTTTAGTATTTTTAAAGCATGTAATTGCTTGATGTTTAAATCTAAAGAAAATATAACTAGAAAAAAATCCACGCGGACCAGGCAGTTATTTGTTATTGAAAATAAAAAATCATTTAATTAAATTTATATTCTACTCAATTATATATGCGCGCATAAAATAATATTAAAGGTAAAAATATAATAGAGGTAAAAAAGAAATAATATTATATATATTTTTTTTATAATTTTTATTTTTTAAGCATGTAATTGCTTGGTTTTTAAATCTAATGAAAATATAACTAGAAAAACCCTTCGCAATCCGGGCGAATGCACTGACCAATTATGCTACCGCGGCCCTCACGGACCGCGTCGAAATTCTTCCAGCCATTCTTAAGTTGCAAGGCAGCGCCATCTCTTCGCATTATGGGTAACCCACAATGTCAAATTAATATTTTTACAAGTATTAAACATTTGAAAGAAGAAATAGCAATTATAGTTATAATTTTTATTATTTTTAAAGCATGTAACTGCTTGATGTTTAAATCTAAAGAAAATATAACTCAGTTATATTTTAAAGGGTTTTCGAAGGGTGCGGGTTCGAGTCCCGTCTGCTGCCTGGTCCGCGTGGAATTTTTGAAGTTATACTTCTTTAGGCGCGTTATGAAAAAATGATGAGAGTGAAATTTTAAGATGCGCGCGCATCACTGTAACACAAAATTTTAACAGCATGAAGTTGGTCGCTAAAGCTGTTACTTTTGTGTTTACCGCACATTAAGAAAATCTACCAACAAAATAGAAATAGAATCTCTATTTAGTGGGTGCTAACGACTGCATTGTGAAGGCCTATCAAAAGTATTTATTAATCTGGAACAACGGAACCAAAGCGCGATTCAGGAGACTACAGCGCCATCTCTTGACCATTGGTGTAGTAGAACCAAAAACCACATCTTTATTTTTTGTAATAAAGTAACAGTTATAGGTATTCAAATTTATAATATTTATCCACATGTTTCTAGTTTGTATATTCGGAATACGTGTTTGAGTTTCATACAAGTGCAAATCACATATGTTCTAATAAATTATATTCAGTAGCGATTTTAATTGAATATTTTGATTATTTATTTATTTTTTCAAATTAAAACTGAACTTTATTGACTGTGTCCTTTTCCAGACTTTTTATTAATTTATTGTAATTAATTATTTGCATGCAATTAAAAACTAATTTTAAACGATGCCAAAGAAGGATAACTTCTCACGCGCCTACATAAGTACACGCACCCATTTTTTTTTCTAGTTATATTTTCTTTAAAAATATTACTCTTTAAGTATAACTATATTTAAGTTTATTAATTGAGTCACTTAAATATAATATAACTACATTTAAGTGCCTCAATTGTTGTGTATGTGTAGACGGACGACCAGATTGTACCCAATTCAATCGGCAATCAGATTGGCAATCAAATTGTGTCGTGTGGAAGGGGTTTTAGTGTTTCATAACAGCCGTTTATACTAGTCTTAAGGCGGTGTATTTAAATTTCGAACTTTCCAATAAAAACCTGTCGTGTGCGAAACAGTTTGTTTCATTTGCAAAGCACACACTCTTGTAGGGATGATAATCGATAGCAAAGTAATCGATTATTTCTACAGTGTCGATTACAATTAATCGATTAATTGCACTTATGATATCGATTAATCGAAGAAAAATTTCAAACTTTGTAAGAAAATAAATATTCCGACGAAATACAAAAAAAATAGGGGAAACCACCCAATCATTGGCACTCGTCCTATTATTGGCACTTTGAGTTTAAAAAAAAACAAGGAGACAATAGATTATTCAAGGTCGTTACATATTATAAAGAAAAACCTAGTATGGTTACGAAAATTGAAAATTGGCAACATTATTCCTACAATCTATTGTTTCCTGTTTTTTTCGAACTAAACTCAAAAGTACCAGTAATAGGAAGAGTGCCAATGATTGGGCAGTTTCCCCTACATAGACATTAATTACAAATAAAAGAATTACAATTTTAAAATAAGAATGTTTATTTAATCACTAACATTTCCATTGAGATTCATCTATGGATGACAGAAAAATTAACATCGAAAGATGAGAATCAGTCAATCTGTTTCTCATGACGGTGGCGATTTGCCCAGCTTCTGAAAATAGTCTTTCAGAAGGCACAAACGTGGAAATGATTGGTAAATGTCTGATTGCCACTCTATAAATGTTTGGATATTGGTTTTTAATAGTATCCCAGGCTACGTAAGAGTTTTGTTTTTGGGATTTATTATAATTTCCGACACAATGTAATATTTATATATTTTTATTATTTTAAAGCATGTAACTGCTTGATGTTTAAATCTAAATAAAATATAACTAGAAAAAAATCCACGCGGACCAGGTAGCAGACGGGACTCGAACCCACACCATTCGCAATCCGGGCGAATGCACTGACCAATTATGCTACCGCGGCCCTCACGGACCGCGTCGAAATTCTTCTAGCCATTCTTAAGCTGCAAGGCAGCGCCATCTCTTCGCATTATAGGTAACCCACAATGTCAAATGAATACTTTTACAAGTATTAAACATTTGAAAAAGGAATAGCAATTATAGTTATAATTATTATTATTTTAAAGCATGTAACTGCTTGATGTTTAAATCTAAATAAAATATAACTACAAAAAAATCCACGCGGACCAGGCAGCAGACGGGACTCGAACCCACACCATTCGCAATCCAGGCGAATGCACTCACCAATTATGATAGCGCGGCCCTCACGGACCGCGTCGAAATTCTTCTAGCCATTCTTAAGCTGCAAGACAACGCCATCTCTTCGCATTATAGGTAACCCACAATGTCCAATGTGGGTTACCTATAATGCGAAGAGATGGCTTGCATTCGCCCGGATTGCGAAGGGTGCGGGTTCGAGTCCCGTCTGCTGCCTGGCCTGCGTGGAATACAATGTAATATTGTTTTTATGGAATAAATGACTAATGACTATGGTCTTTTGCCACCATGAACATTTTGTTCCAGTTTGACATCTAGAAGAAACATACGTAGCTTCAACTGCATAAACGTTATACATTATTACATATAGACAGAGATGGTTTTAAAGACTAAAGTAACAGTGGGTATTGTATGAACAAAGCTGTAGGATGTCGAAGCTTGTTATGATGATTTTTGAGACGTGTTTCATGTTTAGGCATTGTTTATGTATGAACTGACAAGACCATAATGAAGGTCATTGCAAATCGATTAATCGATGTAAAATAATCGATTACATCGATCGACGTCGTAATTGTTGGGGGGAGATTAGAGCAATCAAATTTAGTTACAAGTAGAAAACATCCCATAATAATGGCAAAAAAGTCGTTACTTACTCAATTAATCATTTCCGATGCACATCAACAAACTTTACATGGAGGGCCAAAATTAACATTAGCTTATATACAAACCATGTATTTTATCATAGGTGCAAAGCAATTAGTCAAAGCCTTTGTTAGAAAATGTGTTATATGTACAAAGCAAAGAGGAAAAACTTACCAACCTCTTATGGGGCAGCTTCCTTCAGTAAGAGTCACTCCAGCACGTTCATTCCTATACAGCGGAGTAGATTTCGCCTGACCACTACAGATGCGTACCTCGAAAGGTCGTGGCTATAAATCATACAAAGGCTACATTTGCCTATTCGTGTGCATGTCGACCAAAGCGGTTCATATAGAAGCTGTTAATGATCTGACGGCTCATGGGTTCTTACAAGCTTTCAAACGGTTTGTTGCTCGAAGAGGTCGTTGTCGAGTGACAACGGCACAAATATCGTTGGAGCCGCGAAAGAAATAAGTACAAAAGTTTTTTTCGGTTGAGAAAAATAGCATATTGCCAGAAATTGCGGAAATTTTTGCTAATAATAGCACCTCATGGAATTTTATACCACCACGCGCACCCAACTTTGGTGGACTTTGGGAGGCGGGCATCAAATCTGCGAAATTTCACCTAAGTCGCACAATAGGTATATCTACTTTGACTTATGACACAGAATATTATACACTACCTGAAAAGAAGCGACACTTAAGCATGTGTGCTCGTAAAATCGCCCGCGACTATGTGTGGGTGTCTGGAGGTGCGCGGGGGCGTTGCGCGGC